ACTATGAACTAAAAAAGGAAAACATTTTCAGATGCGACGGTTCTCATTTTGTGCAAGAGGCGCAAAGCTCTATTTTATGCTCTCCACAGAGACTTTTTTGGCATTTTGCAAGGATGATTTGTTATGCGTCGCTTAGAAGGGGGACAAATTGCGCAATTTTTTTTTTCTTCGTCGGTATAACTTTTGGTTGCATTGATCGTGTATTATAGCTGCACAAGTAAAATATATAAACAAATAAAAAAAACTCAAGAAAATTACTTTGAAAACATACACACAAAGTTCATCCTTCGTCGTTTTGACTACGCACATTTAAAAAATAAGTACTTACACGAAGCGCATGAATCTAAGTAACCGCACATATCAACTGCACAACACCGACTAGCGCTGTACGAAAAATTAGCACTATACAAACAAAGGAAAACAGCGATAACGGTAAAATAAAAACTCGCGTCGTCGAAACGACGAACCTTCCAGGATTAAATGCAGAAATCATTATTATGGAACCATGTATGCGCTCTAAAAGAGCAAACTGACCGTATGATGTACGGTTTAAATACTTTAATTGTTTTGCATACAAGGGCGTTGTCAGCCTTTCACCTAGGGGTAGGAATTTATATAGAGGGCAAAAATGTTTTTAATTATTGTTTTATCCTGGTGCACCCAAAAATTAAATTTTTCTCCTATTCTATAGAATTTTTCTTTTTAATTGATACCCATATTGTTATTCTACAATGCACCGAATCTTTTGAATAATTTTTTTATTCAATCATAGTCTAGAAATCTCAAGGTCCTTTTAAAAAAAATCCTAACGTCAGAGATAAAAACTAAAAACGCAGTTTTACTATATTTGGCCCCCAGTTTTGTGAATATATTGATTTTTTCGTGTGTAAAATTGACTGTCGCACGGTGTTATAAAAATCGCTATTTAAAAATTTGTTTTTTTTTTTGTTTTTACTTTTATTGAATTACTCCTTAAATAACAATAACACTATACCGCAAAATTAACTTTTTTTCTGGGTAGTGGACCAAGCCAATTTTTTCAAGAGGATGAGTCATTAGTGAAAAAGTCATTTCTCCGTTCTTCGAAGTTAGCCTCCGAAATCGAGATATGGACCTTTGAAGTTCTAAATTGGACCTTTGGTAAAAAAATATTTTTAATTATTGCATGTAAACAACTAAAAACGTAAACCTATTAGCACTTAAAAATTAGTTCAAAATTTTTTTAAATACATATAAGTTATTTAATTTTTCGAAGATCTAACTTTTGACCCCCTTTAGCACTATAAGTTTGCACAAAAAAGTTATATACCATTTAAATTAGAGCAAAAGGCGGACCACGCCCATAATTTTACTTTTTTAGTTGCTTACATACAATAATTAAAAATATTTTTTTACCAAAGGTCCTATTTCGAACTTTGTAGACCCATATCTCGATTTCGGAGGCTAACTTCGAAAAACGGAGAAATTACTTTTTAATTATGACTCAATCTCTTGGTTCAATACCCAGCTAAGTGCTGTACAGTGTATATTTATGACAGGCTCAATTTCAAGTTGGTCTCTTCTGGCTGATGTTAGCTTTAATGTTCCCTTTAGGGATAACTATCATTCCAGCAAGTTTGATATATCAGATTCGCTTTTCAGCATTAAAACCCCGATACTATCCTCTCTCAATTAATGATTTACTAACATAAAGACATAAAACCAGCTGATGACTTTAGTTCTCTAGTTGAACAGTGACTCGGCGCAAAAATTGAAAATATTGGTTCCGTATGTCATGTGGAATGCGCCACTCGTGCGGATGGGCGAGAAAGGAGGGTACAACCGTTGGGATTATTATTATATATCCAAAAAAAAATCTATTTTTATCTTAACAATCTAAAAATAACAAATATTTTAAATTTTTATATTTTATGTCTTAGATAACAGTTATTGAAGACTTTTATTTATCAATAAAATTCAATCACTACTTTTACTTACAAAAATCATCAATAAAAATCCAAACTTATCAAGATTAACCGAACAATAAACTAAACAAAAATCAAAATACTTAAATCGCAATATTCCATAAACTTCACAGGAAGGTGCCTGTACCATTAAGGGCCGTTTCCACCAATTCTGGTTAACACTAATGCCCAGTTAAACATCGCTGCCGATGTTAGCGGCACAGTGTTATATGCATGGTTTCGATAGCGATGTTTGACGGAGGTTAGTGTTACCAAGATATTGAGAAACTGGCCCTGAATGTTAAATATCTTCGAAACCGTATATTTTTAAAGAAAATGTATTATAATTAACTTTAAAGACAATAAAATTAGCTATGAAAGCTATAGCTACTTATAGTTTTAGATAAAATCAGTCGCTAGCTAAGCAGAAAATTATCGTATTTTCTTTACAATATTAATTTTATTTTTTCAAACTTCAGGGCACCTTCGGTACGTGAAGGCATGTTCCTATTGGGCTCAAACTTTCACAATTGTGTTTTTCCTCTAACAGGTCTATTCCGCGCTGGTAACATAAATGTTGTAACCGGCAACTAAAGTGTCTGTCAATTTTTAAACTTTTTTCGCATTCTGTGCGCTCTTGTAACCGGTAAATTTGGTTACCATCTCATGAGCTGGTAACAAAATATTGCCCCGTGAAATATGCAACACAAGAATCTCCACAAATCTCCATAGCTGAACTGCTGAATATTTTCACTGCATTACCAACGTACCTAGAATCGCGGTAACAAGAAGTGGTAACATTTTTTGGTAATACAATTTTCCGGTCACAAAATCTTCGGTAACGTGCAGAATAGACCTGTAAATAGCATATTTCTAGAGGTGAGAACCTGTAAAAATCGAAAGTTTTTGTGGGAAAGTTTGATCTTCGGAAATAAAAACTGCTTACATGCAAGGTGTAACTGTTCCTGCAATCACTTTTGGAATTGCTTGAGTTTGACAGAATTTTAAAAAGGCCTTGCGCTTGCCACGTCTAACAGCTACTTAAGAGCTTTTTATTTTCTAACATATTTTACATACATACATATGTACATATGGCTCATTCCACGGTAATCGATACCGAATGAAACGAAAATAAACTAAAGAATATGACTGTATTATTTCTAGTAAGTAAGAGTAAATAAATCTAACTTTCAAGACTGAAAGCCAAAATTCCGAAATTTATCTCAAACTCAGATATTTTTTTACTTTAGGTTATGAGAGGTTAATTTTTTTCAAAATTTACAAGACTGATTTTCGTAGTCTATTACCTTTTTCGCATTGTTTAAACCGTCAGTGGAGAGACAAATTCGTTAGCATTGTAACGGCGTTATTTTCAAATTTTTCGGGCAAGTACTAAATATTTTATAATATATTGGCAAAGCATATTTTAATGTCACGCCCGTCACAAGATACACATAATAGTTATTTTTTGAAGGAAAACACATCTTGGACAGTGTAAAAAAGCTGAAGAAAGTAACGCTATGACACAGGGAAATATGTGCGAATTGCTTTCAAGTATTTTTATGCTTTTATTTTAGAAAAAAAAAGAACCGATTATGTTGGTCACGTCCGTCACATGTCACACCCGTCATAATTTAAAGTTTGACAAACTTCAATAAATTCGGCCAGGGACTGCTACCGTTACTTATCAGCTAATCTGAAATGTGTCATATATCTGTTTGTGATCAGCGATGATAAAGCTAATCATAAAGATATGTTGCTCGCGCGATGGGAAAACTTAAGCTATGCTGTCACGGATAAAAAGATATCATTACTTCGCTTGTCAGGGCAAAAAAAGTATCTGAAACGGTTTTTACAGGTCATACTATTAAAAATACGGTACTTTACAATTACTAAGACATACAATAGAGAAGAAGACTTGGCGGAATCTGGTATGTGTTCGTAAAATCTGATTTTTTGAGAAATAAAGTTAGCTTAGTTGTCTAATAATGTGTATTTATGTATTCATGCTCAACTTGTCACACCCGTCACAAAGTCAAGTCACACCCGTCACAGTTGAATTTGGAACATATAATCTATAATTTCCAATAGCGGCAAGCAACTTTGGCGTAAATGTTGAGAATGTTTATTTAACTATACAACGAACTATTTAAAACCATAAGCAGAAGACATAATTAGCAGAAAAACTCTGATGCAAGTAATGAGTAGTTAATTTGGTTTGCGTACTCGTCACACCCGTCACAGTGACTAAAATTCAGATAACTCGTTCGGATTAAATTGTTTTTGGAATTTTTATTCCAGGCATTGTGTATATCTCGGAAACCTATTACAAAATACTCGTTTTAAAGAATTTTGTATTACAGTTTAAGAATTAACCCTTAAAATGTGAGTTGAAATGTCACACCCGTCACCGTGGAATGAGCCATATGTAGATTGTCTTAAATTTTGGGACTGGGGTGATTTCATAATGCATTTCATTCGATAACGAATGCTACAATTAGGCCTGTGAATTTAAAATAAAATAAATAAATAAGTTGCTTTAAAATAACACAGCGCTAGCGTTTAACATTATATTCGTTGTTTATTTGGCGCACAAATACTTTAAGATCTGTATACTAAATCAACATTTCCATTTCGGTTAAACCCTTAATATTAACAATATAATGTGGGCTCATGTTCTTACTCAACAAAAATTAATAAAGTTTTAGGCACATTTAGGGAAACATTTATTGAATAATCCAAACAAAAAGCGACTTGGCTTACCTCCGTACGTAAAATTTCTACCTCAAACTTGGATATTGCAATTAAAAAAGAAAAAAAGTGTAAATATTTTGCAAAAGTGTTGAAAGAGCAAGCTGTAAGCTACATATGTACATAATTGCAGGTCAGCGTGAATGCTAAAAAATAACTATATTTTCTATGGAATGAGATATTATATTAAAAATGCCTTTTTATGTTATTATTTGAATTTTAATTACAACCAGAATGAAATTTAGACTAAGATGTCTTAAAAAAATAATACATTAAAAAACAATTTGTCAACGTCAAAAAGCTTACCTGAAATCCCGGGGGTAATGGCTCGTGTTGAACTGTTAGCTTTATATCGTCACCAGGCTTCAGGAGCTCCATTACAGCCTCTTGGTGGGTTGCGCGCGAGATATCAACGTCATTCACCTTCAAAATCCGGTCTCCCATTCGCAGTTGCCCACATTTGTGTGCAATGCCATCAGGCACAACCTGCAATAAAAATTATAGCTATGTTATAAAACTAATCTTACGAGATTGGACAAATTTAACATTTTCTTAACATTAATTAGGGCACAAGGCAGAAGCTTTAAATTTGTTTTCGAGATAAGAGGGGCCTTAAACAATCTTAAGCCACTTAGCATAACATTAACAGCCAAAGTATGTACGCTACATTTGTTCATTTACGTTTGTGCTGTAATGCAAAAGCCGAAAAAAGGTAAAAGGCGAAAACGAAGACTTCAATAATTTATGTCAGCAGAGTTCCTGGCAATATAGACTATGTACATACAGTCACTCTCAGAAGTATTCGTAAATTAGTTTTTTCATAATATTCAAAATGTTTTCCATCACAAATCTTTTTCGTTAATTTTCATTTAAAACATAGCTCACTCTATAACCAAAAACAAAATTTGAAACTTTTTATTCAGAATTTTTAGAAAAATTATCGGTACAATAAGGTGCAAGTTTCATTTAGCTAAAAAATACCGCTGATTTTTGAAGTGAAACTTCTTAATCGAGTTCGGAGATGGTTGCGTTAAATATTTAACACCAAGCCATAAACTCTGTATCGTTCGTTCGATTTTTAAAAATGAGGTGTCACATGAAAGGCCTTGTCCTTCGGGTGTACACCATAGCTTTAGTTCCATGAAAGGAGTTGCCACATGTTAGAAAATCGAATTCAAAATTTCTCTGCCGCAGAGGGTTGCGTTAAATATTTAACACCACGTCATAAAATCTGTATCGTTCGTTCGATTTTTAAAAATGAGGTGTCACATGAAAGGCCTTGTCCTTCTGGTTTACAACATAGCTTTAGTTCCATGAAAGGAGTTGCCACATGTTAGAAAATCGAATTCAAAATTTCTCTGCCACAGAGGGTTGCGTAAAATATTTAACATCAAGTCAAAAAATCTGTATCGTTCGTATGATTTTCAAAAATAAGGTGTCACATGAAAGGGCTTGATCTGCAGATGTGCAGTATGGTTTTGGTATTTTAAAGGCTTGCCATATATACGAAAATCAAATTCAAATTATTTATTAAGTTAAACGAATTATCCCAATATGGGTATCAAAAGAAATGGGTTTGAATAAGTTGTATTTTCTAGCTAAATGTAGGAGGGTAGCCACCTGTTTCAAAAGTAAAATTTAGTTAAATATACAAAAGTCTTACGCTTAAAATACTATACAGAACAGAAAGAGCTTACGGAAACACAATTAAAATATTTTAGAGGTGCCTGAAGAGGGTGGCCACCTGTTTAAAAAGTTAAACTCAAATTATTGAAGCAAATCTTATTATTATAGCTCCGTTATGTTTGCGATAAATATTTAACGCCACGGTACAGGTAGCATATGATGGGTATAGAAAACGAATAGCTGCGTTAAACGCCAATTGGGTGGGAAAAGACTAATGCAAAGACAAGAATATAATCAAAAACAAATATAAAGATAAGATGAAGATGAATATGAAGACGTAGATGAAGATGAAGATGAAGGTGAAGACGAAGATGAAGATGAAGATG